ATCAAGAAAGCTCAAATGCTGTGAATCAAAGAGGGTACTCAGCTAGCAGAGTCAAAACCAGGCATAGGCTTTTTATTAGGGTTTCCATCATCTAACATTCCCTCGTTCCATACACATCTCCAAGCCAAATCATGACCCTACAAAGGAGCAATCGGAGCAGGAGGTGAGTTTATTTCAGTTACACTTTAAATTTATAATGAGAATAAATCAATCTGAGTGGTTAATGAGGAACATGAAATTAATTGACAAGTCTGTGTTGAATGCTGATGGAAATTTCTATCATTCCCATTCTCCACCCACTGCATCTCTCCTCTCCCCTCCAACCAAGTGAGTACTTGTAGCTTGCCTTAAAATCTGGACTCAGCACTCACTAGGTCACCAAATAAAGCACTTAAAGCTAAATCCTACCCGGCTGGGAAATTGCAGCACACAGACTTGCTTAAGATCAAGTAACAGGCCGAGGTAGCCTGGGAACAGGTCTCAGTGCTCCTGCCTCCCAAGCTAGCTCTCCTGTGCTGTGTGTCCTGTGAAACCACACAGTGTATCCATGACCCACAGCAGCTGGGAGTGGATGTGGGATCCAAGGCACATGTGCATCACTTGTGCTGGCAGAGCCAGGTTGTTTCAGACATGGTTTTACCAGGACTCTCTTGACTGAAAGTGTGACAGCCTGACTGCCATAGGCTGGCTGTTCTCTCCAGTCAAACCCATTCCAGGGTCTGTCCATATCTGGAAAGACAATTCAAAATAAACCCTTCTCCCTTTTCACCCAGAAGTTCCATGACTGCCTAGTGTGGCTATGAGGTCTCTCCCTGGAGTGACATGAGCCAGCAGAGCTGCTGTAAGGACCCTGCAGCAGCACCAGAGCTCTGTGCTCTGCAGTGCTGGTTGCTGCTGGTGCCTGTTTGACTCTCACTGCACTGATCTCAGTGCAGCAGGGAGGGGGAAGGTTTGCTGACTGGAACTCTGCAGTAAGGGAAAGCAAAGCCCTTTGCATAGACAAATGTAAAACCCACCAGGGAGAAAGATAGGCTGAGAAATGGCTTTCTTGCTACTTCTGTATTAAAGACTTGAACACACCCTTTAAAAGTTTCCCAGGGATGAAAGGCATCGACTGTTTCAGAAAGACACTTCTGCTACAGATTTTATAAGCTTTTGGGACTGTTTGTGATTTGCATACTTAGAAAACCAATTGCAGGATCCTGCATGCCACTGAAATCATGAGCCTTCACCATGAGGTGAAACATCCAAGAGCTAACCTTGGTATAGGTTCAGTTGTTTCATCCTTTCCAAGTCTTCCTATTAGGAGTGACAAACCCCCACAGAGTCATTAACAATATCGATTTAACAGAGGAAACTTAGGAGCTTCTGAATTACTGTCGTTCACACAAATTTTGCACTGAAAGTCAGACATTTAAAAAAAGAACCACACACAAACACTGCACAAGTCAAGCTTTCTCTTACATCCTTATCTCCCAACCCCTTCCCCTCAACCTCTCTTGTCCAGCAAGGCACTAGGAAATGGTTCAAGTTTAAGCATTTGCTGTACATCTACATTTAAAAAGGCACATCTTTATTTTAATGATGCTGTATTCCCCTTTCAGGAAGGCTCACACGTTCTTCTGTTGTGATGTGGAAAAGAAAGCTAATTTCCTAGGCATGAAAAAAGACACCTTGCACACATGAGAGCCCCAAACCTATTCACTGTCTGCAGGCCTTAGAGATTAGCACCAGTATAGAGCAACAACAGCTTCAAGAGCAAATCAAAGTATTTTTATGCAACATAACACATCCAGGGACCCCCTGTTGTCTGGGATTCTGGTACTTAAAAGCAGCAGAACTTATGCAGCCATGGAGAGAGAGGTGTTTGGATACTTTTGGGGAAAAAATATGAAAACATTTATTTTGCATTAGATAGTCACTGGTGTTTAATCTCCAGTCTTGACTTGCATGCAGATGTGAAGATTTACTTATGCATTCATGCTTTAGCAATTTTGCTCACAAATAACCCAAAGTAATTGGAATAATTAACCAGATTGCCCAGCAAAGGCTCAGTTAAAGATGCAGATGATGAAATACAGCTTCTAGCTCTCAATCAGTGGATGGTTGGCTATATTAAGTCCTTGCATTAGTCAGCAAAGCCTCTAGGGTATTGAAAAGTATAATTGATGCAAATAAATTAATAGGTCAAAGCCCAGTGAGCTAGTCAGAAGTGTACAGAATTTGTGAGGCACTTATCACAACACTCAGATCCCAAACCTTCAGAAAACAGATCAGCCATCCAGAGAAGGACCTGGTACTAAAACTCCAGTTTCTGTGTACTGGTGGTAGGTTGCCAAATGGGAATTGCCTCAACAATTACCCAGTCTTTTGGTGCACACTGCTAAGAGCTGACCTTTCTCAAGATCACTAAGTGGTAGAAGACCTGTACTTACTGCAGTTCCCCCTGAAGCAAACATCCAGTGAGCCAAGAGAGGGCTCTCTTCACAAGGTGAGCCCAAGAACAAAGCAAGCCATGCATTTTAGAAACAGAAGCTAATCCTCTCATTAGAAAACTAAGACACACAAAGTTGCAACCTGCAAGCAGAACGACCTACAGTCCATTTATAGAATCTGCTGATTGTGTCCCGATTATAAAAAAAAAACTAGCACTGTTCATGGACAAACAGCTTTTTGTTCCACAGGTATTAAAACATTCATAAAGACATCTAGTCAGGCCATCTAGTGCTCCACAGTCAGCACCACTAGGCTAATGAGAGCATTAATAACTTAAGGAAAGCAGCAGTCAGACACAAAGCACTGGAAGATGACTCTGTCTCCCACAGAAATGAAAAGAGATCCTAATGACAGACATATTGTACTGGGAACATAAGATGTCAACTCTGTTTGCTGCTGGTCTCACTTCCATACTATACTGCTGCAGAACTGTCACAAGGAAAGGCTAGGGCTTTTCTTCCTCTTTCTTCACTGCCAAAACATTAGACACCAACACATTTGGGAAGCCTGGTCCCAGCTGCAATGCAGTGCCCATGTTTTCCCTGCTCTGTGACTGCATGGACCAGGTAAGCTGGCAGAAGAAGTTGGGCATGGCCTCAGCTGTAAAGATGAGAGAGGTGGAAATGGTTTTGAGCCTCACAGTCAATACATCAGATTTGAGAGCTTGAGGGGCAGATAGTTGTGTCCTAGCTTGCAGGCACAGCAATACACAGCCTCAAAGACCTCTGAGACATGGAGAATGATCAGAAAGAGCCTCTTGCTTCTGGAGCTCTGCAGGGGGAAGTCAGCCTGCTCGTTTCTGGACACCAGGCAAACATCTCTGTGCCTTCACATGAAACCCAGCCCAGAGCAGAGCTTCCCTGCCCCTACGAGGAGGGAACTCTATTAACTGTGCTCACCAGGAGTCCCAGATGGGTGCTCTCCTCCTATCCCCCTCTGGAGCTGACTGCACACTACCAGCTCTTGTAACACTCTCGCCTGGGCAGTTGGACAAACCAAGGAACTGGGCAATTCCTGGCAAAGAAATCAGTTTTCCTGATTTACACAGCATCTTTGCATAAGTTAACTGCATTGTCATTCACAGCTTTTACCAGAAAATGTCACTGCTGCTTTCAGTACAAGGCTATGTCAGCAAAACTAGTAAATCTGTTTTTGCAAGAACTTCATTTTAAGCCAGGGTTGTTTTAAATACTTGCTTCAAATAGATTTGAACCAATAGTCCTCTGTTTATCCTTTAGTGTCAGTACATTCCAGCTCCTAGGACAAAACAATCCTGGTTCACAGTCTGGCAGGTGCCACAGCCAAACCAGAAGGGCAATACCTTGCACTGCTCACTGACTGCACAGGGGAGAGGGTACCAGTAGAATGGGTCCATCAATCTCACATTTTTGCTAAAGCAAACAGATTTCCAGTCACAGTAAACTGCACAGTGCTGTGGGTGTTGGGAGACAAGGAGAGATTAATAGCACATTCCCACAAGCCTAGAACACTACTAACCACAGGACTCAACAAACTACAAGCTGATGAACAAATGGATAAAGACCAATGGCTAATCTCAGCCCTGACTTAATTATCTTGAATTTATCTGCTCACACCAACTGTGAATTAACTTAGCCTTCAAACTTCTAAAGGAAATATGGAAGTTGCCTCCACATAGTAGTCTGAACTCTGAGAAACCCTGGAGGTGTCTGTGGTAAAAAGATTGTTAACAAGAGGCAAATTTAGAACCTGATATCCAAAGGCTCTTAGCAAAAGTCTTCACCTGTAAGAACTGTGCTTACAGAAAAACCCTCTGCTAATCTTTCACCTTGAAGATTCAACAGTGAGTGACAAACTGACTACAAAGTGAGCAGACCAGAAACACAGATTTCTCATGGCTAATAACTACAGCCACATTCCCAGCACTTGGCTGCACTTCCACTAGAGCTCATTCCTTCATCAGAGCTGTGATTTGGAAAGTAATAATACTCAACCTGTTTGAAATATATTTGGTTCAGGGCAAAAAAATATTCATTGCATTTTACACTGATGGGCTTTTTTTTTTTTTTTGATTGGAGGCTTAAATCTTCTGTTCAAGATTTGACTTCTATGGAGTTTGGAAGATAAAGCACCTATGTGGGAATGCTTCAGTGGGTGGTATAGCAGCTACAAAAAGTCCTGGAGGGTCCGGGAGAACAAAATCATTTAACACCAGACCCAGATGGGAAAAAAAAATAACAAAAAGAGACCAAAAAAAGCCATTTGAATCACATTCAAACTCCTCTAAAAACAGAGTTTCTGTTCAGTCTCAGCACAGAATTGGCTCTGGCAAAGCCTTTAAAATTCCACCATCCCCAGAAGAGAAGGATGCAGCATCTTCACAATAAAGACTGGCCTGCTAGTTAGCCTTCTCCTGAGATTCTCCCTTTTACCTTCATTAACTGTTTAAAAAAAAGTATTCTTAAAAAAATTTTTATAACCCTCCCCAGTAAAAACTATAATTGTAAAATATATATATTGATCTTTTAAAGATCAAGATTTCTGTTAAATTTTTCCAAGATGGTTGAGTTTGTGTGTTCAAATATCCATTGCTGTGTTGGAGATGAAGGATTGCAGCTGTTCATAAAGATCTTTCGATCACTCTCACTGCAGTCCATACAGCTGCGGCTGACTGGATGGTACAGGGTCTTGTCCTGGAGAAGAGAAATTTGATGTGAGGTTGCTAAGTGCAGAAGAAAAGCTGTTGTAAAACCAACAGAAAGAAGTCGTATAAAATCAAGGCAAACTATCGTTTGTCGCTTGGCTGTATCTGAAGTTTTCCATGCTTAACTGGTTGGCCAGTGTCTCGGTCCATTCCCACTGCTTGCAACAGAATCCAGCCCAATCCTCACACTTGCACAGGGAAGCTCTAAAGCTGTGCCTGAAGCCACAGGCTCTCCTGTGACATCCTGCTGCATCACTCCAGGGCTCTGTGCCAGCAGATTGCAAGGACTATGACAGGGCACTTAGACAAGAATATACTTACCTGTTGCCCACACTAGTTTAGTTGCTTAGCAGGAGGATGAATAAATCCTTATCTACCTTTGGCACAATTTTCCAGTACTCAGAACAAACCAACTCTCAGAACACCTCTCTGCAAACAGGTTTTGCAAGGATGTTGCATCACCTCATTGCCAGCTGTGGACACACCATGAGTGTCCTGCTCAGTGAGCCCTGGAGTCCTCATCACCTTCCTAACCAGTGCAATGGGGGAGTCACCTCTTCTAATAAGGGTAATTAATGGCACAATGACAACAGATTGTCTGCAGATTCTCTTATCACAGCTACATGAAGAGAAGGAATAAAACATGAGTGCTGACATTTTAAGGAAACTTAAGTGCCTACAGGCAATTTGACAGCTTAAATGAGAAATACTCATATGCCCACACACACACAGACTCACTTTTCGGTATCTCCAGAGCTGGTTCCCCTTCATTCCGTGACAGTCATAGAGGGTCACAGGGCTGCTGTGGGAAATGGCATCAAAACAAAACTTCTTGGTATGCTGTGGATCCCCAGGACGGATATCCTCTCTCCAGCTGAAGGTGAACACCTGCCAGGACAAACAGGACCCTCAGGATAGCTGTAGGTACTGGGCACGATGCTTTCACCAGTAGAACACTGTTCCAGGGTGGGGATGGTTCAGGGAAAGGACAGTATCTTCTAGAGAAAAACTATTCCTACCTCTGGGGACAGGGACTGCTGGCCAAGGGAGTCTCTGACAGTTGCCCCAGCAGTATAATGTTGAAATATTACATGTGAAATGTAATAGCAGACTGTGCTGCTGCAGCCAACCATGCTGGTTAGCCTGGGTGCTGTAGCAGCCCTGACTGTCTCTGCAATGCAGACATACATCAGGGATTAAGTGAGCAGCTGACCAATTACAGCCCTTCACAGCTAGCAAAAAAGGCAGAGAGCTACAGGAGCTCCGAGTTAATGCTGGCAGTAAACACCCGAGTCTGCACAGGCAGCCTGCAGTCACCTTGAGAAGTGCATCCCACACCTTCTGGGCCAAGAGACCAGGGGCCCACAGCTCCCCATCCCACTCCACAGGAATGTTGGAAGGGCAAAGACTTGGGCAATGCTCCCTGGTGCTCTCTTCTACTGACCCTGCAATGACCTCGCAGCACTCTCAGGTGCAATGGAAGGAGGGACACTACAGAAAAGCAGAGAAGAATTTCAGCTCTAGTAACTTGGTACAACCTATGCCTGGCAATGCTGTGCCCTTGATGAAAGAGTCCTCTGTGACCAGCACTAGCCAATGTGGTTCTGCAGGGCTACTAGCCAGCAGACCTTGGTCCCTACAGAGAAGGGCTGTCCTGTGGGCTCCTTCTGGAGCCAGGTGGAGGAATAGTTCTTTCTTCAGAGGTATCTCCTGGGGCAGTAAGAAAAGCCACCAGTAATGATCAGGATGTTGCTATTTGAAACAGCATGGCCTAAAACTTTCACACAAAGAAGCTACTTTGTTCCCGACTCTCTTTTAAATCCCTCTTGAGAGAAAAATTACCGCAATCATTTAGCCTCAATGCTACACAGAAGTTAAAACCACATCCTCTTCCTAAACATAAGCCAACACTAATTTTCAAGATCCTCCTGACACAACAGAGGCTTAGTTTTGGACCGTGCCTGAGTAAATTGGTTTTGTTTCTAGTTTTCATGCATCAAAATTGATATGCAACAACCCTCTGTCTCCTACTACTGAAGGCATTCCCTGAAGAGTTATGCATGGCTCTGTAATAGAGGCATTGTTTTCTTGATCTTTTCTCAGCTCAGCTGCTACAGTTTAGACAAACTAATATTTTCCTCCCTTCTGTTACAATAAAGCTGTCGTTTCTGGCACCTTATATGTTGAGAGGGTGAATCTATAACCTGGCTGGTTTCATCTCTCTCCAGCAGTGGTTGGGTGTTTATAATGCATTTGCCTTCTGTCAGGAGGATGATAGTGAGCAGTTATTGAATGCTCCTGCAGGTTCATTAATATGCATGATGCTCCTCTATCACTTCTTTCAGCACAACCTTTGAAGTTAATATTCACTTTGTTACATATTACAGCTGCCTTGTTACTGGTTTATTGTTTTGGCATATTGTTTTCTTGTCATTTCTTTTGTTCGCTCTGAGAACTTCAAAGCAGAGGTAAAAGCTCTGCACAGAGCCTGCCAGACTCCAACCCCTGCCACGAGCACAAGCCACATCCTGCTACCAGCTCATCAAGTACAATTAGCCTTGGGGTGCACCTGACAGCTCTGCAATGGTTTTCCTCCTCAAACACTGGGTCTTGTAACTTGTCCCTCCCCAAATTTAGGTGCAGATGATTTATCAGTGTTACCTGCACATTGTTCCATGCTGCCTCTCCTCTGTCCTTCACACAGCTTTCCAGCCTCAGTGGGGATCCCAGGGCTCCATGCTTAGTATCCACACACAGTCCAGTTCCTACGTTGCGTATCTGAAATAGTAAATTAGTCACTGAATCTCCTACTTCTACCAGGTGACAGGAAAGAGGCTCAAATTGCCTCAAATAGCAGCAGTACTTGTATGGAGATAGTATTTAAGAATTCTCACTTAACTATGTGTCTGAACTGGTAGGGAACAGCTGGAAAAAAGCCCAGAACTCAAACTGGGGCCCAGTGCCAGCTGTGCCAGAACCTCCAGCACACACCAAAACCCACCAGTGACAGCACTGCAGAGCCCACGGTGGTGGTGCATCCTCCTCACCCACACTATGATCTCAGCAATACCCATCAGGCCTCAGCCTTGGGGAACAGCACCTGAGCTGAGCTCCTCCTGAGCTTATCAGAAACACTGTCTACAACAGTGGTGCGTAACAATCCACAACTTCACTCCTGGGGTCATTCTTTTTCCAGAACACAGATGCCTTTCAGAAACAGGGATGCTTTTCCTGGCTTTCAGGTGGGAAAGCTAAGCAGCAGAGCAGCTCAACACTGTGGTGAGGCCCTTTGGAAATACAAGATTTCACTAGTGCTCAGCTGCTGCCTCTCCCTAGCTCTCCCTTTGGCATGTTTTGATTCCTACTAAATACACAACATGCAGAACAAGCCAAGTCTCTATTCTCCTTGTAGCTGTGCACTAATAGAAGCAGCTGCCTGCCCAACTGCCTGCTTTGATCAGGCCAATGCAACAGTAGAGGAGTTCTGGGCTTTGAAACATATCAAGCAGATCTTTAAACACTCACTTGCAAGTGCTGGAGCTTTAAAACCCAAACCACAGCCTGTTTGCCCACCGCAGATTTCAGAGCACAAACTTGCCTCTCCCCAGGCAGCTGCTGGAGGCTCCACTGGTGGGTAAAACTTTGGCAAGTCCCACGCAACCTCGTTCATGAACCACTTGAAGCTTTTGCAGTTGAGGTTGTTGCGCAGTTCCTTCTGAGCCGCGACGTCGCCCGCGGAGAGGTGTCGATACTCTGGTCGGCGCTGGTAGATGTACTCTGCATACTCATCCATCCACACCTCAGCCACTCGCTTCAGGTTCTGTGTGGGCAACAGCCACAGGGGAGAACGAGAGGGAAAACCACCTGAGCACACTGCACACACCACTGACATTAGCATTCAGAGCAGCTTGCATGTTTTTTGCTCAAGAAGGATTTTCATTCACTTTCTCTCTCTCTCTCCAGCTTCAGGACAAAGATTATTTTTATTATTCTCTAGTTCCAAGGGACTTTTAGAAAGATATTTTCAGATGAGGTCAAAACAAAATCTTGGCACTCAGCCATTTTATCTAGTTCCTTGTGGCTAAGAAAAACAACATAAATCAAAAGTTGTTTTTCTCCTTTTTTTTTTCTGTAAAGAAACTAGTCAGAACATGATGCTGGTAAATACCACTGGACATTCAAAGGTCTCTGACAAAAAGCTGCTTTCTTAAATCCTTCTTATTGCATCTTTTATATCCATCTAGGAATGGGATTTGCAGTACTCCCTTCTGGAAAGCTTCAGTTCACAATATTCTTTCTTAGCACTATTTTTCCATTTTCTTGGGTAAAACTCTGAGATACCTCAGGAATACAGAACTTTTAGGTGATGACCCTCCAGAACAGAAGTAAAGGGTTTACCTTCCTGGCAGCAGTACATTTCATGTATTACTGCAAAGTTTAATCCACTGTGCAATTCCAAGGCAGAAACAAATATCACCCTGCTAAGACAACCGCCCTACTGCTTGTCACAGCACCCTCCAGACCATTGGACTTAGGACTGCTCTCTGGTAACATCAGGCACATTCTAGGTGCCACACAGTCATGTGCCATGTGCAGTTGTGACTCCAAGCAGCACTGCCCATCTTGCATGAAGCTCATCAGTCCAGCAGTGATCACCTACTACCAAAAGAGCGAGCAGTGTGACCCTGCCCCACATGCAGCTTCCACACATGTGCAGGTGTTTATCTCAAGGTGCCTGGAGATGCCAAGAAACAGCCTTTCCTATACCTGTCTGCCTTCTCCTTCCAGCACTGTGGGAGTACACAAGAGCCAAATACTGAATCAAAAGAAATATAGCTCCTTCCTGAAGAGATGGCACAGACAGGAGAGTGCTCTATCGCTCTGACAGGTCATTGCTGGGCTGAGAAATAAATCCAACTCTCTAACTAGGGTGGTGCTATTAAACTGGGAAGCATTTTAACACTGTGCAAGCCACAAGACAGCAGAACAGCAGGGCACCTTCTATGGTTTTTAGTTTTTCAGCCTTCCTGCTCCTATGATTTTTTTCTCCCACCAGAGGGCAATGCAATCCCTTCTTAATTTGAAAACTAACTGGAGAAACCCAGTGCACCATAGGCAAAAGCTCTTTCCTCTTTGGGCTACACTAGATTAAGAAATAAGATGGCACAGAACATTCCATTGTGGAAAATTACAGCTTGCCCATTCAGTGATCTGTGATGCTTGAAGCTGAGAGGTCTCTCAATCACCACAACCCAATCCCCACACTGAAGCCTGCTGCTCTTGGAGAGCACAGCTATAAAATGACTGAAGTATTATACAAATACAGCCATAGCTTGTTTTTATAGCTATTGCCTGATCACAAAGTCCCTTCCCAGCACCCAGCAGTGGCTGATGTCTGCAGCTCCCCAGGCTCTCTTCCCTTAGTGCTACACATCTACCACTGCAAAACTGCTCAATGACTACTACACAATTTACAGACTACAAAGCCTACATTTGCCTCCTATTGCGGTGTGAGAGGAGATGACAGTATGATCATGTTGTAGTCAGGCATCTGTCGTGGGGAATGCTATTGCTACTTACTCTTGCCAGGCTGACTCCTGTGGGAACCTTGTATGGAACATATTTTCTGTAAATATGACCAACTCTTGAGCAAGGGATGTCCTCCATGCGACCTCCACACATCCATACCTGTGGAACAGCAGAGATACAGATTCACTCTTGGTTTTATGGAGAAAAATGCAAAAGAAAAAAAAAAAGACTTCCAAGTAATGAAAAAGCTTAACCCAGATTTTTATGTTGAAGTACTCTCTTCCCAAATACCCTCCCCTCCCTGCCAGAGTCTCAAATCCTGTAACTACCCGCTTAGAGCCATGCAGCAAGCCTTGATTTAGCACAAGTGCTATCAAGCCTTCTTTACAGAAAGAACAGGGAAAAAAATTTGAGCACCCAGAGAACAGCACACACCACACTTTAAATTGATATGTTATTACAGCACTAGTAACCACAATAGTTAAACTGGGCTGCCATAAAAAACCTGGGTGTAGATTGTGTAACGATGCTGTAAAAGGGAGACCATCTCCATAGTACAGGTGGTCATGTGTTATGCAAAAGGCTCCAGGGAATTCATGAGCCTGTTCAAGTGCCAGAAATCAGAAGAAACTGCTACTTTTTCCCTGTGGTTATCACTGCTTTCATATGGTTTCATTGCTGACATTCACTCACTGCTTTTGCAGCCTTACAATTAAGTGGAAATCCCTGCCTGGTGAACTCATAAATAGCTTTATAAAAGCCCTCAGGAAGGTACTTGAACACACTGCTTGTTGGAGATGACTACACCTTGATGCTTGGTTTATGTCTAGATTAGGCCCAGAAGCTTCCTTCCCCATCTGGGAACACTTCACTCTGTGCCAGCACTCTGCAACAACTTTCTTTTATTCCTTATTTATAGCCTGGATGTAATAATTTTCTCTGAGTGAAACGAAAAGAGATGTTTTCTGAACCAGCCAATCTACTTCATTAGGTGTAAGAAATATATTCCTGTGCTTCACAGAAATACTTACAGAAAAAGTACCCTTCAGTATGCCAAAGAAACGAGATTCTGATTCCTGAAGCACAGCACTGCCTTGCCCTTCAGTCTGTCCCCAGATCCCATGTGAATGCCCTGAAGGCTGTGGTGTTTAGGCAGGGCCACTGGTGCTGCAGGCTGATACAGGGCTCTTGATCTTCCCATTCACTGTGGCTAATTTGAGCCACCACAGTTCACTGTACAATGAGCTTAGTCAACAGCTTCACACACAGCAGCAATTCCATTAATATTCTACAGCGACGATATTAAATACTTAGCTCGGAAGAGAAATATTTGGCCAAGGCTGCTGCATAATTATTAGCTCTGACACTAAAGTCCTCTGGAGTTTCAGCTCTGTCTGCTGGCCCTAATAATTACAGTCATTTGCTGACTGTGTATAACTTAATGGAGGTTGGTTGCTCTCAGTTAGAGGAATATTTTTCGCAGGCAACTTCTAAAGTTCAAGGTACTTAATTACATGTCGTTATGGCGAGAGAGACAAGAAGAAAGTTGACAAACACTCCTTCTACAGAATTTCATTCCTTTTGTCCCCGCTGTGTTTTGAGAAGCTGGTACAGAAAAGATGAAGATGAAAAAAGAAACCAGCACTCAGCTTCTGTGAAGTTTCTAGTGGAATTAGAAACACTTCTTATCCTGCAGCTGCTGTGCTTTTGGCTGCAGAGGGCCACAGCGCGGTGTCGCTGCTCGGAAATTAACTGAGAAAACAAGAATTTGGGCATGTTTTGCGTTTCTGTGACAGAAATGGTTTGTGCAAGGCTCTAAGAGCTGCAACACATCTCGGAACTATAAAAAGCTGCAGGAAGAGCAGAAGGAACACAGAGCTCAGTTGCACAGACACACGTTGCCCTGCACTGCACCCTGAGTCAAGGAAGCCTGATGGGTTCACAGAGCTGCATTTCTGTGTAACACAAGTGTGAATGCCAACACCACCGTGCTGGCCTTGCTGCCTGCCACAGGATGCCTCACCTGCCCCATCTCACAGTGAATACAGCTCTTATCTGAAAACACAGCCTGCCCAGCAAGGTGAGCAGCAGAGCCCTGCAGCAGGAGAGGAGAGCCCTGTCCTTGTGCTGCACAGCTCCAGAAGCAATAACAGACAGCACTGACCCATGGAGCCAGATCCATACACAGGAGAGGCAGCATGGGTGGGAAGCCAGACAGAACTGATAGTATGTTGGGCCAGGAGCTCCAAGCTGGTACAAGACTCCAGGCACAGCAGATGACATTACATGAACACATGCAATGATATGATCAGAAAAGCTACTTAACTGAATTACTGAACAAGCAAAATCTAACATCAGTTTTACTTGCCCTTTTCCTGTTCATGCTTTCAAAAATTTACTTCCAAATGATGCTGCAATGGAGGCAATGGAAAGCTTCCTAATTCCTGCTAGCAGAGCTCAGTGACCCTTTCCAGGTACTTTGCCAACTCTGTGCCTTTTTAACGTTGTCTCACGCTGCAAGTGACAGTATGGCACCCGCAGTACAAATCTAATTTTAAAAGCATGCTTTCCATTCATTCCTTGCTGCTTTGATTTATTTTATTAGTGAGCTGCTTTGTGTGGTGACAGAACTCATTACAACCTCCATAAAGACAATTACCAGTCCTTATCTATACAACTGGAAGAAGGGGGAGAGGGAAAAAAGACATGCATTAACACAGCTAACAAAAGCATGAGAAAGCCAGAGTTAAAGGTCAGGGAATAGCATCCAAGGGTCTGTCAAGGAATAACTGCAAGGGAAGCAAACCCAAAATAGCTGTGTGCTCACTGAGGGAACACTTGCACTCTGTTTGTGAGATTTGGTTGTTTTTGAACAAGAGTACAGTTCTCAGGCATGGGAACGTACACCGCTAAAAATACTCTAACAAAAGCATGAGAAAGCCAGAGTTAAAGGTCAGGGAATAGCATCCAAGGGTCTGTCAAGGAATAACTGCAAGGGAAGCAAACCCAAAATAGCTGTGTGCTCACTGAGGGAACACTTGCACTCTGTTTGTGAGATTTGGTTGTTTTTGAACAAGAGTACAGTTCTCAGGCATGGGAACGTACACCGCTAAAAATACTGAGCTGTCACACAGCTGGAACGGTGCTGATCTGTGGGGCAGCACCTTGTGCCTTCCCTGTCACACTGACTGTCACTTACTGCCTTCTCCTCAGGCCAGGAGAGCCAGTTTCTCGTGGTGGTTTTGCAGGGGGCTGAGATGGTGCCTCAGCTCTCTGGCTGACATGTCAGTAAACATCACAGCCTGAACTCTACGCACCCGATTTCAATCAGCCATTTACTAGAACACTGTAAGAACAAGAATTAAAGCTGGTCAGGCAGACAGTGCCTTGTACAATAATCTAATCAGATCTCATCAGGAGACAACAGGAAATTTCTCTTCCTCCTCAGGCACAATTTTGCCAATCTCCATTTTGGGCTAGGAATCAGCAGCTGACAGATCTGCTTGAATTAAGAGAACACCTGGCTGTGCTGAAGTCAATGGCAATGCTGCAACAGGTTTAACTAAGGCCACAATCTCACCCTAATAATAAAAATGGGCACATGGGAAGTGAAATAACAACACCTGTGATATTACTTCCATCTTCCCAGTGGCCTGGAGAGCTGTAACTCCATATTCATAAAGCGACTCCAGAGCCTTTGACTCAGTCAGTATGCTGTGAAAGCACAAGATAATATGCCACCTATTCTCTACATGGGAATGTTATGCTGATCCAATTCCCTTTCTGCAATTTCAGAAAACAATGTCAGGTAAGACAGCTGAACCTCTCCTCTCAAACACACAATACAATGATGCAGTTGGTGTGTGAACACAAATTATCTGGGTATACAAGGTTTATGGTTTCCAAAGCCTGCACTGTAATAAGCCAATGCTTCCCAAGAGAGGGAAGAAACACAAAGGAGAGAGTTAAGCCTTGAAAATAAAGCTGCTTCTGCGGGGCACAAGAGAAATGAAGACCATGGGATGGACCAACGGAGAGAAGCTGGCTGGTTGAGCACACACTGAAAGGTGGGAAGAAAAGGGCACAGAGGATAAGTCAAGGGAGTTCTCTGCATAACAAGGTGGGTGAGAGCATGAAAGCAAGGGCAACCAATAAATCAGGAAAATTGTAATCTTCTGTACTGGAAGTATCAGCTGCTCCTGCAGCTGGGCTCTAGTGCTTCATAAAAGATGAAGGTAGCTCGTGAGGCTCTGGGATCTTTGTGTTTACACAGCACCTTCTCTCACACACCACAACCAGCATGGCCCCTCCTCACCGTCTGGAGCATGTGAGAGTAATGACAGCACTTTGCAATAATCACATTTAAAGAGTGGAGGAGAGCACTTCCCTGCTGCTGCTTGGTGGGAGGCTGCTCTGGAACCTGAACCAAGCACACAGGGTGACAGAGGCCAAAAATTCAAGACAACGGTCTGAAACTGATCTGTGCATCACCATATAGGAAGGGAGAAGGAAGCCACCCTGTACTACAGCTGAGAGCCTTAGAATTAAGCAGCATGTGCTGGCTGAAAAAAAAAAAAAAGCCCACAAAAAAAGCAGCAGAATGCTCGGCCTGTTTCAGTGTGGGCAAATGTGAGCTGCTGGAAAGTGGTGTGAGGATGTGCCTGGAATAAGCAGTGGAGGCTCACAATCAGCACTAACTTCAGCAACACAACTAGAAATGCTGTCAGAAGGGATCCCTTGGCAGCTGCACCAGAACTACACACCTGCCAGGAGATGGTGCAAAACGGGAGTCAGAAATGTGCTGCTGACGTGGGGCAAAGGAGATGCAGGCATCAGACATGCAAACAGAAGCTATGGAGCAGTTGGAGCTGTTGGAAAACATGTAACGTGTTTTATGCTATGGAAATCAGAAGCAATCCATGTTGATGCTTTAGGAAAAGGATCTACAATCACCAGAATAAGTGCAGTGGCTGTTTCCTACTGCTGAAGGCCACGAGTACTGCCCAGCTCTCATCTTCCCCTTAATTGTTCCTTTCAGGGTAACTGTCAATTTGGCTTGTTTGCACCAAGGCCTTTGAATTTCATGAAGGCTTTACAATCTCTAAATTACAAAACAAACACTGCTAAAACTGAAATGATTTATCACCTAGCGTGGGACATTCTGGATTCTCATTCTTCTTTGCTCTTAACGTGCAATTAAAGGATTGAGAAACACACCACTCAAGATCTGAGGTACAAAGTACATCTATATTTATGCCTATACAAGTCAGAGACATCCCTTTTTACTCCTCTGTTTCCCCATAACGAAAAAATCAGAGACTATACATTTATGGAAGGGAGGTGTGAAGCAATTCAGTGAAGATTATGTAAGACAAACAAAATAGAAGCCACAAAAATACAGGAAAAGAGTATCTCAAATAAAACAGAGTATAGATAAGTACTGTACAAAGTAGCATTTGCAGAAAGGAACAGTTTAAATGATTCATATATATTGCCTAGAATTAAATACAATAACCTCATAGAAAATGAAGTGGTTACGTAGGCAGGGAATAAATTGTGTTTAGAAGAGGAAAGACACATTGTTAACTTTGGGTAAAGCATTCAATTTTGTTCCCATGATTTCAGAAAGATAAAAAGACCAGGAAAAACTGTAAAAAAAATGAGAGGTATGGAAGTGACTCCAAACAAAGCAAAAAACCCACCTCAATGAAGGCCACTGAGCAGAGGAACCACAGCTGTAGAGTTTGGGGCAGCAGAAAGGAAAGGTGCCAAGTGCCCCACAGAAGATGATGTACTCAGAGGTCAGCACCTGGGATGCCCCTGAGATGAAGAATGGTTCTCACAGAACATGGACCTGCAGAGCAGGCTGCCCAGAGCACTCTGCAATTAGGGCTCAGGGAACAAACAAGGCTCATCTGAACACAGGTAATACCTGCAACGAACACTGGAGACTGCAATCTGCCTGCTGTGCCTGGGGGTGACCTGAAACAGGACAACCCTGACCAGCAGAAGTGCTGGGTTAGAGGCACTGAGCTGCTCTGGATACACACAGGTCAAGAGAAGGAAGAAGAGTGTGTTTCCTGCTTGAATATGGAATGGACAGGTCGACTCCTTAGTTTCTAATCTAGAACTTTATGTTTTAAGGGATTGGGAAGACCCAGAAAACTACAAACCAGCATTTAGGGTTAGAAAGTTTGTTTCTAATGTGAAGTTCATCTACTTTTTTTTGTCTCTCCTGCATGCAGTGTTTTCTAGTGATGTTTGTTGTACATGTTTCATACAAGGAGCAAAGCTTTTAGTGTCTGATCCATCCTCCGGCTAAATGTTTTCTGAGGTGCTAAACACTGATGCTTTCTCTGTTGCCTTGCCTGAAAATTTCTGATCAGAAGGAAGCAGAGCCAGCTGATAACAGAAATATACATGGTCTCAAAACAGAAAGGCAAGAGGCTCCTAAATAAACTTGTTTATTTCCAGTCTCTCAGCAACAGAGCCCTGGATTTTAATAAAGGCAAAGAACAGTACGGCACAGTCCGTGCATGGCCGAAAAAAGAATATGCTTAAGGAAAAAAACCAAACCACAAAACAAACCCCCAGAAGCCCTGTACTGTACTCCTGGTGAGGCTCAAGGAGGCCAGATCCAATGAAATGGACCAAAGACCACCAGTACAAAAGAGTACCTGAACCCACAGCACTCAGGCACAGGAATGGACCCTTTGTTACAGCTGGGCTGTAAATCTGGCATGCTTAGAATCTGAATTCCCAGGAGATAATAAATAATGTGAGAGCAGGTACCCCACGCCTAAAGCCAGAGCTTTAAATTATCTGACAGTGTGCCTTTAACTACGAAATCTCAGTCTGCTTCTAAAGGTAAAAACGTAGCTCTAAGCTCGCCAGGAAATGTCATAGCTTCATAAATTCTATGAACAAACCTTCTATTCTTGCAATTCCAGCAGAATTATTAAATCTATCAGCCACAGATGAATGTATCAATTTATCTTAATTTCTGAAAATACACTGAGCCTCTTTCAGTTAAAACTTCATTTTTCTGTTGCACAATGAAAGAAAAAAAGGGGGTCTTTGCAGAGATTAATTAAAGCAAATTTATCCCTCCATAAATTACCATCTCCAGACTGAAATAAAACACAGCGTGTTTCAGAGGGGATAAGCAAACAGATGAATGAAGTAGTCTTATTTCCCGCAGATCAAGCAGTGTGACTGTCTGCTGTGGCACTGGAGACAAAGGGCTTGGCCAGCCACTGTCATCACTCTTGGAAACCAGCATTTTCAAAAAGGAAGAGAGGCTGAATCCTGCACTGCCTCTCCTGCAGAGCTGAGCGTGTTACACCATTTCATCACACGCAGCACAAAGAGTAAATGGCTCCAACCATAATGACACCCCCAAAGAGAGTGTCCCCACCCCTCCCTTCCTGCCACAATTACAGAGGACAAGGCACCTCCAAGGTGACTTTATGACTTAGGTTTTTCTATGAGCAAACAATGGAAGAAAAGACTGTCTCAAAACCAATGCCTTCTCTCTCACTGTTTGCTGCCCAAGGTATGGCAGTATGGCTTGCTGAAGATACTGTGATAACCTCTGATAGCAAATTAGGCATTGAGACTTAGGAATCTGTTTTGTAAGAGATCAGCCATGACTTGTCAGGGGAGACATGCACAACTTTAGCTGCTGAAGCTAAACTGTGTGCTACAGTGGCATCACTGCCATCTTCTAGTGCTGTGCTGAGGCCCAAGTAGCTTAGATCAGTGGCATCCAGACATCTATAAAATCATATATGCAACTTCTGAAAGAGAAATCCCAGAGTTCAACATAGAAATCTTTACTCAATTTGCTCCAGCCTATGGAAAGGATTCCCCCCACTGATAAGAAGAGTAGCCATTTGCCTTCAGGGGTCTGGGATATTCCAGTGGGTTTCCTAGACTGGTACAAGTGGTGTTGGTGGGTCACACTGACTCGTTACTATCAGTGTGCATTTTTGGTCAACTGGCTAACTCAATTTTAAAGCCCTCAACTAACCAGACTGGTCAATCAGTAAGTAGCAGAACTGTCCCCAAGCCAGGCAGATAATGATCCAAAGTCACTGCCAGCAACAGCATTATTACTCCACTTGTTGCGGGTTTCTTCCCGGGTAATTAACAGCCTCAGTTCCTCACAGCCAGGAGTCAGATGGATTGACTGCAGACAGTAAGTTGCTCTCAGCTCTGGGAACTCCAGCTGAGGACTGAGGTACTCAGCTGGGCAAACACTGAGCTGTCTGAATCCTCCTTCCCTCAAGGAGGTAAGTATTTCATTGTCTTGCCAGGGTGAGCACCAAGCAGCCTAACAGTCAGAGAGAGCTCCACACAAGCTGACTCACCCTTGCTGGGAGGAGCACATGTATCTGAAGCTGTGACCACCGAGTGGGGACACCCCAGCTAATCATGCTCCAAACCTGACCCTCACAAGTGCCTGGTCACATCATCGCTGTTTCTTCTGTGCACTATTTTTCCCAGCTCTTTCACCTTCAATCACACACAAAAGCAAGGACAAGATAGAATCATTCCCATTCTGTGCCTCAGAACAATTCTTACTGTTCAAAACAAAAGTAATTTCCAGAGAACATGGCTCACCTTAAAGGATATTTCATACTGCTCTCCTCCCCATATCTCCAGACCTGCATCATACCCTCCCAGCTCCCAGAACCACTTTCTATCGACTGCAAACAGTCCTCCAGCCATTACAGGAGACCTTAAGGAAAAACCAGACTCCATATTACAAACACATTCAAAGACACAGATCTCTAGCTAAACATTTAAAAAAAACAAAGCAAGATTTGACAAATATTCTTTTCACCACCCAGTGTTCCCAGTGCCTTTACAGCCCTGTCAGAGCACCAGTTGTTTTGGCATTATCTACTATTTCCCACTTGCAGATGGGGAGGACCTGACTGGGCTCCCTTCAGAACCAGCCAATGCCTCTCCTCCAAACAGGCAGGAGTTCCAGTGATATGGTCAAGTCATTGAGCTTGACCTCAAGAAGTGTTTGGTTGGGGCTTTTTTTTTTTTTTTAACACTGCAGAAGTATTAAGGACAGCAGAACTGTCTCAATGTTGGCAAGCACAGCAACAGCAGAACACAACTCGATCACAGATTTACTTCTGCAATGCACTGCAATCATCAAAATTGCTGTAATTATTCTGCTAGATTTTCTTCTTCCCCCACCTGGGAATGACATATTAGCCACCATTGGTTTGTTGTTTTTGGCAGAACATTAGGGATACTAAGTTATGCCTGAAAGATCTTGGTAATAAATGACCACATTAAACATTACAGTTTTCAAGGAAATGCTAACTTCGGTGGGAATTATGGTGACAAAAATACAGCAATGAAAAGGAAGTGTTCAACAGCTACCACACAATGCATTTCTTTTAAACCAACAAGCTGCCAAAAAGCAAGGAGCTTAACAGCAGTTTCTGACTTTTACTATGCTGAGGAGTAAACCAACCCCATAACAGGGCGTTATTTCATTAGCCACTCGTAGCACGCTGCGTTTCAGCAACTTACTCAAAGGGATCACTGGGATCAGGTTTCTGTAACTCAGGAGGAATAGGGATCCTCTTGTAATACATCTCCCAGTCAAATGCACCTCGCATTGCATCTCCAGCCTGAGTCTCATAGCCAAAGTGGTCGTGATCAATAACATCAATCATAGGGCAAACGATTGTCTTGCGGTTTCGGGCAATGCGATCTGAGGATTGGAGAAACATGTTAGAAAACCTGCACCAGTTGGTTCTTTTGAACATGAAGTTATAAGGGAAAAACATCAAAATATGAAGTTGTCCAAGAACAGCACAGATTTCTTCCCATTCCTTCTCTTGTGGGCGGATGCTCCAGTTTATATCAATTTATCTGCTACTTCTGCAATAATTCATAGAATCATAGAATGTTTCAGGGGTTGGAATGGACCTTAGAGATCATCTAGTCCCAAATCCCCCTGCCCTGGACAGGGATACCTCCCACTAAACCAGGTTGCTCAAGGCTTTATCCAACTCGGCTTTGAACACTGCCAGGGCTGAGGTATCCAAAAATTGAGATAAAAACACCAGGCATTCATCACACAGAAGCAGAATAGGAAGACACAGCCACACTACCACAGATAACTAACTGCCAGGCTAACACCAGACACTCTTGTACTTGGTGAAGATCCTGATTTTCACAAGTGACCTGGATGTGACCCTTTCTGCACAGATCCAAGTCCAGGCAGTAACCCAGTGCACCACCCAGCAATAATTGCCCTCCAGAATCTGGCAGGAAGTGATTCAGACTAATGGCATAGCTACTCTCTGCAGGCTCAAGAAAGGCAAGTGTTACCTCCTCCCCTCAACCTTTTCTTCCAACCAAGTAATACAACACAGGATTAATTTCTGCATAAACATCTGGAATTTCTTAAATACTTTATTACTGAGACAGTCTCTTGTTGGAAGTTAAGTTTCAGAGCAGAGGCGACAAATGATGTTTCAGCTCCCAATACACATCTAACAAATCCTTTCTGTGCTGTAAAAAAATCAAAGCATACTCTACGTGTTCTCATTTAAATGGCATTTGGGCTAATTCTGTCCTCTCTCCCTGGGGCTCATAAAATTGCAAATGTTTTACACTGTTGCCAGATATAAACTGTAGTGAAAGCAACAGGATAACCACCCAACAATCTGGCAGATAAATCTGACTTGTGTTGCTTAAACCCTTCACTTGACTGTTATTGCCACAGTTTATTTGACAAAGTCACACCTCAGAGAGAGCTCTGACAGGTCACTTGCAATAGGGCTGTAAGGGAGTTTGGTACCAGTCAGAGGCAGACACAGGTACCAGAAACAGACTGCACTGTCCTTTCAATTAGTCATCCTTGAACAGAACTGACATTGTCAAACTGATGCCCCTTGAAAATGAAGCACTGCCTTGGAAAGCACTGTCCATGTGCTACAAATATCTACCAGCAGCTCTCATTCACAAGTATTTTCCACAGGCTTGCAGACTATGAAGTTAAATATAGTTATATAGGAGACAACCCCCCTAAAATCTACTTAAAAAACTATATATAAAGATCTTTTCTGTATCATGAAACCATTACTCTCTGCAAGCTGCTGAATGACCATGTGATAGTTTATTTTTCTAGCAAGCTGTAAATTATTTAAGATTTCATTTGGCAAGGAAACAAAAGAATATCATCACTGCTTTTTAATTAACCAAAGCATAGGACAGAGTTATTGCACAGTGCAGGACTCTAGAACAGAAAAAAACCCATCTTGTATTAAAGGCTACAAGTTGCCAACAATTCACTTGTCTTGTAGTTGGTTTGTTCTCCCTCTTACGACGCCTCATCTTCCTTGTGCCCACTTACAGCATGAGGAGAAAGCAGCAGGTGGAAAAAAACTGCATTCAACACCAACATCTGTGCCAGCTCCACACTCACCTAGCAGGGGTGGCAGCCAGTTCACGTTGGCCTCACAGTGGGAGTCCAAGAAGGTGATGACATCCCCGATGGCCATGGAGGCTCCAAGCATCCGAGTTCTGATCAGCCCCTCCCTCTTTTTGGTCCGGAGGATTCGCACATTTGGGAATTGGGCCATGTAATCTTCCAGGCGTTTCTTCAGGTGTTCTGTATGAAAATGAGAGATTTTAACACTGTAACAACTAATGTCTTAAAAGAAAAAAAGCAGTTCTGTCTTTACCAGCAGAAGATGCCTTTGGAGGTATGGTCTGAACAGCTAACAAATGCAGCAATAGGAAAAAGGAAGTAAGAATAATTTCTTTTAAATTCCAAGTTTAAAAATAAATGCTTAACCAAGACTTCTGAAGATGTTCCAACACCTTGGACGGAATTAATGAAAAAAAGGAACTAGGAGAAGATGAAGGAGTGTAGGATGAGAAGGAAAGCAGCAGAGAAAGAGGAAAAGGAATAAGAAGCCAGCTGGCAGACCTCTGGGAGAGCTTTATCAGAGCAGGGATTCTTGGACACTTGTGTAAAACCAGTGTAGCTTAGAAGGGACACAGAGCAATTAAGTTTCAGAAGCAAACTGCACTCAGTGCATTTAAGTTGTGTTTGGTTTCTTCAAGACACACAATATAACCATCCACTCATAAATAAAACCCAGCAATAAACCCAGTCAGACACCTTTCCACGCCACGAGGCAGGCACAGCCACTATGCATGAGGATGGCTGTGTTAAATGCTTATCAGAGGAGATATTTGCATTTAAATATGGAAATATTTACAGTACTGAGCATGGACTGCAGCCACATCTGAATTAGCACAGACACTGGCAGTCACCACCATCAACAGGAATTCAAACAGGAGAACTGCAGAGAAAGATCACTGAGTGATCAAAACAATGGACAGCTTGTTCCAAAGTGGAAATCAAAAGCTTGGTCTACATAAAGAGTGAGGGGCACACAGCTGTCTTTACATCAAAGAGTGAAGCACCAAAGAGAAACCTAAAAATAGGCTGAGCTGACGTTGGCCTCATCACTAATGGGTTGATCTTTAGGCCTCTGAAGTTTTGACTTGCTTGACAGCAAACCCCATTCAGAGTGTGCCAAGGACTGTTCATTAATGTCCCACAGTACCCACTGCCATCAGCAACTGATGGAGGAAACAAGCCTCACCAGGCAAAACTTGGTGTGTCAAATCTAAGCAATTAACTCATCTTCAAAATCTCACACAACAGAACTTGAATAGAGGCAACCAACGAAATACAAATAACCTCACAGGGTTATTTGCCTTGACTACAGGGGACACATCCACTCCACTCTGTTCAGCACAGTCTTCCTCAGCCTCCAAAGCAGGCATGAAAGGCAGGGGCTGGACAGGCTGACAGTGTGAAAGTGCCCCTGAACAGGGCACCAGGGAGGTCAGGCATTGGAACAGCTCTCTAAAAGAGCAAAGGAGCAAATAAACTTAACCTAGTTATGAGCTCTCCCCGCAGTGCTGACCTGGCAGCTGTGAAAATGGGCAGAACCCCTGTGACTAACACACCTTCTGCACCTTCTCTTTGAAGCAGCCATCACCTGCCTTCCTTCAAAGATCGTCCAAATCAACTTGCTTTTGAGCTATTCCTAGCAAGCTCTTCGCCCTTTTCAAAGCTTTGTTTAACATTCCCCAGGAATTTTTGCTCACAAATCCATTTTACTGTTTTACCTGGCAAGTCTAATTGTCCCACAATATCTACATAGGTTTCCCTGCTCAATAGAGCCCTCAGGACTTCTTGCTGTCTAGCATGCTTTTCCCTCATCCTTTTTCAAGTCCCTTCTGAATAGATCCTCTCAAGCAACCAGAAATTTCGTCCACTCAATTACAGTTTTTTCAAACAAGGGCCTTCCACAGAGGCTAGACGTTATTAGTGCAGCTGCCTTCCTCCTGAGGCAGTGGGTAGACTTAAAAAGAGAAGAAAAAAAGAAAGGAAAGAAAAGCTAGCACCACTGTTTAACATCAGAGCTCATCCCTTGCCATTGTTAGCTTATCACAAAAGATTATTTCATCAGAGAGAACAATCCTCACTTCAAGCATAAATGAGCTAAGCTCAAGCCAGGAGGTAGACCTTAGCTAATGTACCCAAGAAAAGATAAACATGAGTGGCTGCCTGTGCTCATTAAAATAAAGGAGGTAACTAACCATAACACAGAAGCTCTTGGTTCAATTCACCTAACAGTCACCACAGACACTGTAGCACTTGGAAAATCAGACCCCACAATATTTACATTGTCCAAACCAAACCTATAAGGCACTAGGAAGGTCTTAAAAAAATCCAAAGCTCCAAACCTATATAGAGCGACTTTCTGCAACTCTTTGTTTTGATAGAAATGAGAAAATAATGCTGTGAAAGATCCCAAAGGTTTGTGTTCCACCTGTGTGCTGGTCATTTACATTTCAGCATTACATACCTTTCTGAACAGTCCTGGTTTGTTGTGCAGCTTCACCTGAGGTGATACCTGAAGGCAGCCTACCTGATCCTCCAGGAGTGTGAGCACAGCACGTTCAGCCTGCTGCCAAACATGAGCATGTTTTGGGACCTGGTCTCACACACGGAGACACACACCCCAGAAGGTGAATAAAGAGTCACTGAACTTGGCCATACTTGTGATGATGACAGCTGCTCTTGCTACAGTGATTGAGGACAGGTTGATTTATATCCACTGACTGCCCACTGCATTCCCAAATGCTGGGTTTGGCTCTGCAGCACTTCTTTACTATGTTTCCACAGTAAAAACATACCACAGCATTTCATGCTTGCAGAGAGTTGTCTGCTCTATGCTGCACTGGATGTCTCACACACCACCAATCTTATGGACTGACAGCTGGGAGAAGCAAGGGAAAGCTGCAGGTACTCCCTCAGCACCTGTGCATTCACACTGCTGCATCCAGGAGGGATGGTGCTCAGATAAGCTGCTCCCAATTGCTGCAGAAAAATCCACACTTGATCATTGTATTTTATAAGGCTAAGATTTCTGTATCATGCACCGCAAGTGGGGAGAGCTTATTGCATCTACTTTCTCAAAGAGTCACAGACTTCCAAGCAACCTCACAATATACAAAACTCAATAAAACATGCTTGTCAAAAACAAAGTTTTCTTATTTCCTCATCCCTGTGCTGGTCCTGCCACCCAGCCTTGGCTTCTACACACCCAGACAAAAAATAGTTATTTCATTCTATCTTGAATATTCTCACAATTAAGTCAATTTTTGCTTTTTAAAAGACAATATTAAAAAAACAAACAAGTGGCATTAACTGCTACAAAACTTCATAAGGCTTTAAAATATATATATGTATATATATTATGGAATCTTGTCACGCTGAGTAATTTTTATTACAAGGGCACTTTTCTTTAATGCATGTTGTTAGGTGGACTGGATGGATTCCAATGTCTGTGCCTACGTTGGGCAAAGTAGCACAGCCCAAACATAAATGAGAGTAAGATTATCTGCAGATTAAAAACTAAGCTGGTAGCTTGCTAACAGACTTTGCAATAAACTTGATATACAGCAGAATCATTAACAGCACCAGTCAAGAACTACTGCTTTCTTTACTTTGAGCTCTAAATAAAATTGTGTGAAGAGAGCAGAGAAGCTTCAGCAGCCAGTCTGCTTTACAGCAGCAGCCCTAAGACTTCCCAAAAATAAGAATTTTTTCCCCCCCAGGTCAAATTTCCCTGGTGGTCTTACTGTACTTCTTCCTACTGGCCTCATCCAAGCAGAGCTGCCCTCAGATGCCACTAGTCTAGTGACCACTTGTAGCATGGCAAGGACTTCCCAAGATGGGAATTTTTCATGCCCAGTTGACTTTTCATTCCAGCCACTGCACAGCTACCAACTGAACAGGCACTTGAGAAATTCAAACCCAAACATCTGCAGAAGCCAGAGAAGGACAGAAGAGTCCAAGGACTTTTTATTTTTTACAGCTTAAAGAGGGAAATGAACAAGAAACAAGATAACTTAGACATGGATCTACAGGACTAGAGCAATGAGGCTGGTGAAGGGACTGGAGCACAAGTGCTACGAGGAGAGGCTGAGGGAGCTGGGGGTGTTCAGCCTGGAGAAGAGGAGGCTCAGGGGAGACCTCATCACCCTCTGCAACTCCCTGACAGGAGGTTGGAGTCAGGTGGGGGTTGGTCTCTTCTCCCAGGCAACCAGCAGCAGGACAAGAGGGCACAGACTCAACCTCTGCCAGGGGAGGTTTACACTGGATGTTAGAAAGGGATTTATTACAAAGAGAGTGATCAGGCATTGGAATGTGCTGCCCAGGGAGGTGGTGGATTCACCATCCCTGGAGGTTTTTAAGATGAGGCTTGGAGGCCTTTTCCAACCTGGCTGATTCTGTGATTCTATGACTGGTAGCACTGCAGTTGCAGGAGACTCCACTGTTCAAGTCAAAGCACAAGTTAACTTGTTCCATCCCCTCACAGCGAACCACACAGCAGTGCCTACCTCCTCCCTGTCTCCTTCACACCCCATCAGCTCAGCCATGTTTTCACAGAGGCTTGTGCAAAATCACCAGTAGGTTTGTAGCCTATTTGGAATTGATTCGGCTCCAACCAAAGGCATTTTCCCACAGAAATCAGAGGAAGAGATCCAGCAGTTCTCTCTCGTTTCTAACATTTTGACTGCAAGCTTTAAGTTCAACAGCTTTTGCCTCAAGAGCTGCTCTGCAGTACAAAGGAACCTCACTCACTCCCTGGAGCTCATGCAGTCGGTTTTACAGACAGCTGCAGTCACAGCTCACAGAAGAAGACTGGTCTGTTTTGTGCCCTTTTCCCCAAATCACACCCCAAGACATAACATCTTTTTATGTACGTTCCCTGTAACATCTCCACAGTATTTGGCAGGGAAGTGAGTACCAATATTTGTCATAGAAAAAAGATTAACTCATTTTAAGTACCATCCAGGACACGAAACTATTCTACAGATTTATGTTCAGAGAAAGAATTATGAGTGAAACACTTCCCCTGTCCCACTAGTGCAACATTTCATGGTTCATATGATACTATCAGCTTTGGTTTCTGAATTTTACACTGTACAGCACATCTGCAGTTCTACTACCCTTGCCATATGTGTATCATCAACCCAAATCCAGAACAAGCAGCACTGCAGAAATCAGAAACATTC